AGATGGCACTGTCCGCATTTGCGGTGATTTCAAGGTGACAGTGAACCTTTTTATAGAAATTGATTCGTATCCATTACCCAAAATTGAGGACTTGTTTGTGCAATTACAAGGGGGGGCGCATTTCACCAAACTCGACCTTTCCAATGCATATCAACAAGTGAGTTTAGATGAGAATTCGAAGAAGTTCATGACTATATCTACCCATAAGGGATTATTTTGCTATAATCGTGCTCCTTTTGGAATATCTAGTATTCCCGCTAAATTCCAGAGAATTTTAGAAACTCTTCTGCAAGGCCTTAACGGCGTAGTTTGTTTTTTAGACGACATTCTAGTAACAGGCAAAGATAGAGAAGAACATTTAGAGCGGCTTGAAACAGTGCTGTTTCGACTCCAAGATGCAGGTTTGAAACTAGCCATAGGGAAATGTAATTTTTTTAAATCAAAAATCACTTATTTAGGATACGATTTAGACCAAGAGGGGTTACACACCTCAGCTACAAAAATTTCAGCTATTGTTAACGCACCAAGACCTACGAATCTAACATCGTTACGCTCCTTTTTGGGGTTAATAAATTATTACGGGAAATTTGTTGTAAATTTGTCAACACTATTGTACCCATTATATAATTTATTGTAAGGAATTACAAAATGGGATTGGTCGGAAGAATGCGAGTCCGCGTTCGAAAGTGTAAAAAAAATTTTGTCTTCAGCGCCGATTCTGGTACATTACAATCCCGAACTACCTTTACGACTCATCACCGATGCAAGTGACTATGGGGTGGGGGCGTTAGTTGCTCACCAAATGCCGGATGGTGTTGAAAAAGTCATCGCGTATGCTTCGCGCACGTTACTGGAAAGGGAACAAAAATATTGTACCTTGGAAAAAGAAGCATTAGCAGTAATTTTTGGATTATGCAAATTTCATAACTATGTATGGGGAAGACATTTTACCTTAGTAATAGACAACAAACCATTATCTTATATTTTTCACCCAGCGAAAAATATACCCCAATTTGCAGCAAATCGGTTGCGTAGGTGGGCACTTATATTAGCGGGTTATCAATATGACATCGAAGTGGTTAAATCAGAAAAAAATAAGGCGGATATTTTATCACGTATACCGCAACCTTCAGAGGAATTGTCCATCGAAGATGTGGAATTAAATTACTCCGAGTATTTTTCGAGTAATGAACATTTTCCGCTGGATTTTAGAAGGGTATCGGAATTAACGGCAAAAGATGAAGTTTTATCGGAAGTTATGAAGTATATCAAATACGATTCGACCTGGAATAACGTTTCCGGTGAACGTTTCCGAAGCTATTACAAAATTAGAAACGAACTGAGTATTGAATCAAATTGTTTGATGTGGAACAACCGTATTATTATTCCATCAAGTTTGCAAGAAGATATTTTGAAAAGCCTTCATTCTACGCACATGGGCGTCGTAAAAATGAAGAGTTTAGCTCGATCGTATTTCTGGTGGCCAGGTTTGGACAGAAGAATTGAAGAAATATGCAAATCTTGTGAAAATTGCTTGATAAATAAAAAATCTCCCGATAAGGCTATTTTACATCATTGGCCATTTCCTGATAAACCATGGACTAGGCTTCACCTGGATTTTATGGGACCGTTTTTGGGCAAGCAATTCTTGATCGTTTTGGATGCACATAGTAAGTGGATTGAAGCTTTCCCTATGAGTTCAATCACTTCTAAGCTCACGATTGAGATACTAAGATCTTGTTTTGCTCGGTTCGGACTACCTATTCAAATCGTGACTGATAATGGCACCTCTTTTTGTTCTGTTGACTTTCTAGAGTTTTTATCTAATAATAATATTGTTCATACTACTAGTCCGCCGTATCACCCTTCCTCCTACGGAGCAGCAGAAAATGCTGTAAAGACGATAAAAAATGCTTTGAAAAATGCTCTTGGTAAAAACAAGGATGTGAGTATCAATTTGGCATTGAATAATTTTCTGTTCGACTACCGAACAACTCCACATTGTACTACAAAAGTGAGTCCAGCCAAATTATTACTCGGTCGTGATTTACGCACACGTTTCAATTCGTTGTTGCCGGATAGTCAGACAGAATTGAGAAGTCGGGTCTCAGTAGCACAAAATGATCAGAAATTGTATCATAGGGGTAAGAGATTTGTAGTTTTTGAACCCGGTGAGGAAGTGACAGTGAGGGACTATCGTAAACAGAACTCTAAAGAGTGGATTAAAGCGGTAATCAAGAACAAAATAGGTAGGGCAATGTATGTTGTACGAGTACCAGAACTAGATAATATAGAGTGGAAACGTCATTTGAACCAAATGAAGAAATTCCATTTTGTTCAATCTTCCATTTCTGAAGGAGTTTTACAGTCCGAGCAAGTTTTAGATGACGTTCACCCCACCGTTTCTGTACATAGTGATAGTTTAGTGGTTGGTAGACCTAAACGGGTGGTAAAGCCTCCAGACCGTTTAATATATGAATGATTTATTTTTCACTAAGATTTTTTTTTGTTGATTAATAAGTATGATTTTTTTTTAGGGGGGAAATGTAAGATATTGCAAAATATTGCCTATTTTATATTAATTTTAACACCTTGTATACTGGACGATCGGGTCTGTGTACCTATAGACTGTTTTTATATCTTGTATAAAAAGAGGACTAGTTTTTATGATATGATGGGTTTGCAGTTGTTTATAATACGGCAGTGGGAAATAAGATGTGTAAAGTTAACATCGCCTATTATTTTTCCTATCAATTTGTAAATTCAAATTGATTGTTTAATATACAGACTATCAAATTATAAGTCTTAGTATATTACAATAATAATCACCCTGCAGATCTTTTTCGAATCAGTGGATGAGATATATGTGAAAATGTTGATGGCCATGGCTATAAATAATTTTATGATTTCAATTCACAGTTTTATCCGATTTGATTTATTCAGTTAATTTTGTCACTTATTTTCCTTACTGGCATCATGTACTAGAATTATTATCCGCCTTCGACAGTATAACTTTTGAAAAATCATTGTGAGAAATCCTTTATTTTTCTGTTCCACTATCTTGAATTATTTGAATCGATGACCAACATCTAAACAGATACCATATCCACTGATTTGAAAAATATCTACAGGGTGATATTTACCCTCCACAAAAAATGAAATGACGAAATCCAGGCGTGGAAATGAAACATTTTGATTTCCATTGGGTTAAGTTTAAAGCATTGAAAATGTGAGTCTCACTTTTATTCCTGAAATGTATGCCTTGTGAAGCGAGTAGGGAAGTAATTATTATGGAATGATTAAAATTTGTTGTCAAACTTTCGTTTTTGCTTATAATTTATAGTTTTTTGAAAAATTCTGTGAAATTGTGAGGAGAACTTTGAGTATATTATTTTTGATGCTAGTTTGTGTGTTTTGAAATTCCCTGTCATAGTTCACAAAAACCATATACAGGATGAACTTCTTGATAAAAACTAAACTATCGAAATTTTTCAAAAACGGTCCTGGATATTTCCGATTCGGAATAAGTCAGTCGATTAGGGTTTAGTAGAGGAATATTGCATGGAAAAATCAGACGTTTTTTGAAAAATTCTGTGAAAGTGTGAGGAGAATTTTGAATATTTTATTCCTGATGCTTGTTTGTGTGCTTTGAAAATTCCCTCACAGTTTTCAAAAACCATATACAGGATGAACTTTTTGATAAAAACTGAACTATAAATTTTTTTTCAAAAACGGTCCTGAATTTTCCCGATTCTAAATAGGTCAGTCTATTAGGGTTTAGTAGAGGAATATTCCATGAAAAACTCAGACAAATCGAAGGAGCTGTTGAAAAGTTATGACCGAAAGATGTTTTTGCCAAATCTCATAATTCACCCTATATAATAAGAGAGGAAGACTTTCTGATGGTCATTAGGTATTCCCCTAAAGGTCCTCTATTCGTGGTAGGTGTATGTACAATTCCTCATGACCCACCCTGTATACTGAATGCTGGTCTATACATGTATATTTTTCATAGGACTCCGAACTCCTTATATTCTGTATTCTGTGGAAGAATATACGCCGTATTGTATTGTATTGGATATGGACAACGTCCATTTTATTGCCATGCATAAAACATAATATTCCTATTGCATAAATATCAGCAATTATCACAAAAAAAGGAATTATGAGGTATTGCCAGGAATTTCCGAGGAATTACTGAGGTATTGCCGAGGAATTGAGAGGAATTATGAGGAATTACGAGGTATTCCTAGTCAATATAGTGAATTATGAGGAATTATTTTGGCATTGAGGAATTTGTGTACAAATGTTCAGCGAAATGCCCCTCGGACCACATTCAGTGATTTGAATATTTTGTATTTCAAATTTATCATGAAACATTCTTCAGTCCAAAAATAATTGAGTAGATATATTAATCTAGTGATTAGATTGTGAAAATGTGTCTTTCATATTTTCAAACACCCAGTAATTGTTTTTCTTTATTATTCGTTTTCATCCGAGCATCAGGATTGTAAGGAAACATTGAAGTTGGTAAAGTGCATAATACATCATTTTCCGTACATCTTAGTCATTTTAGTCAGATTTATGAAAATATTGAAATTCCAAAAATATGAATTCGATTGACTGGCATCAGGCAGGAAAGTAGTTGTTTTTCTCCCATCATCCACCATTTTTGTTCATTTCAACACTACTGGAAATGACTATGAGTTTTTTTCCTCATTGTCAATATATGTAGTATCTACCAGTATATACTTCATTAAGTTCAAGCAGGGTATCACATAATTGGATCAAACTCTGCGTTATTAATTTTGTCCAGTCCAGTCATACATTTCTGAGCTTTGAATCTAACAGCCTTGCACAATATATATACTACATAATCCAGAAGCAAATCTTTAACAAAAAATATAGTTGACATTCTGAGGTGTAGGTAGATCTTTTGTACAAAGATTTTAATGTATTGTGAAGTATGCAATTTTAACCATGGAAATTTTCTTTTGTAGGTAGTGTGATCAAAGCATGGGATATTGGTGTGGCAACTATGAAAAAGGGTGAGCGAGCATTGTTAACATGTGCACCAGAATATGCCTATGGTGAAGCTGGCAGTCCTCCAACCATTCCACCAAATTCCACTCTGAAATTCGATGTAAGTTTTGTAACTAGTTTTTTCTCAATTCGAAATGTTGATTAGATCACTCTGATCTTTCAAAGTTTGTTACACACTGTATGAAATGACATATTTTGGGATAAAATGAGCCAGCAAGGACTGTTAACACCATTAGAAATGCCTCAGGTTTGAGCAGGTTGAGGGTAACCTTATGTTCTTAGTCAGTTGCTACAATATGATATCCCTTAATTGAAAATCAAATAAACTGCTGAACCTGAACACTCCAAACATATAATCTGAATTTTTTCGATAAAATTTTGATTTGCCATAATTTTCGACTGTCTCCACCGATTTTCAATTTACTGAAATGAATATTGCATCTCTCCAGAATGAGGTTCTACAGGATGATACTCAAAGCTGTGCAACTTGTTGAAAATTTCAAAGGCCTCCCCCAAGGCCTCCTCTCTTCAGAATGAGATTCTACAAAATGGAGGAAATCGCTAATGAAGTTTCTCATGACATCTTTTGATGAACGGTATATCACACACAATTGCAAATAATTATCTGAAGGTTCATTAGAAGAGTTTGCCTTTCACAGAATGAAGTCAAAATACAAGTTTTAGTATTGTTTATAACCATGATCACATACATTGCTTTTGTTCCAGTGAAGGGCTACATACGACCTTTTACCTTGTCAGAATTCCGTAAAATGTAACATAATGAGAGAATTTCAAGAAATTGAAACTTTAATGATGATTAAAGTAAAAAACAAATCCACGAATACCTAAATTTTTATTTTGAATGAGATCAGGTGTCTTCATGGACAGGTTCTGGAACTATCGATAACATTGGAACTAGATGGCAGAGATCTATATAAATTATGGTACATAGCAGGTATTGCATCTACTCTATAAAGGTTCACTAGGCTCTTCTCCTGAGATGCATTGCATCTACTCTACAAAGGTTCACTAGGCCTCAGATATCGGTATTGGTTTATTATACTTCTTCTTCAATTCTGGCTCTGAATGATTTTTTCTTTTGGTCTTTGGTGGAACAATGGGCATTTCACTAAAGTTCTCCTCTGGGAATGATCATCTTCAACAAAAATTGTTTGTGGCAAGTTTTAAACATGTGAGGATTGAAATCACTTACCTCTTCCGAGAATTGGCATTATACTGGACTCACACAAAACCGCCAAATGGCCACATTCAATTTATTTTCAGGTGAATACCTAAAAAACCGCACACCATAGCTCCGTGTTAACTGATAGATTATTGATTTAAGATCGCATGTACAGATTCAAGCACATACGGCGTTATGTCCAGAATGGTATCGAAATGATTTACTATCTTCTCCTTCTCGACTTAAGGTTGCATGAATATATTTGTGCACATACGACCTTACGTCAGAAAATGTGGAGTTGAAAAAATTGTTGATGCTACTGTTTGACAACAATTGATAACAAGTCAAGCACGAACTAGGTAATTCTTTCACTTCAAATATTATTTGTTTTTGTATTGTAGACCTTCAATTAGGCTGATGATGGTCTTTTATTAGAAGGAAACATGTCCCTTATGATTAAGTAACATCATTAAAAATTTTGTGGAGATGACTTCGAGCATTCCTACCTTCTAGTCAATATAAATGCCTAAATACTGTATATTCTGTACCCTTTCTATTTCACAACAGTCACAGTTTCCTTCCTTCAGTATTAGTCCATTCTGATTTATGAACCTTTATGGTTTTGCATTCTGGTAAAGCCTTCTTGGTTAGGCAAAAGTGATAAACTTGGTTTTGTTAACATTTAGTGAAAGCAGGCTACAGTCTAGCCATGCTTTTATTTTAGAAATTGAGATTTCTGCCTTTTTGATAGCTGATCCCCATGAATTACTAACAGAAATAACCACAGTATCATCTGCAAAACAGAAGACACTATCCTCATCATCCAGTGTAAGATACTGATATCCCAGGAGAGGATTCTTTATTAAAAGCACTATTCAAGAATCAGTGTTATCTATCTAGTCGACATCATGCCAATCCCCCCTGTTCTGTTGTGTCTCCTACCCCGAATGCCGTGACACATAGGACACTACCTAGACACACCACAGAACTTTAGTCTACTACTTAGACATCTATACCCTATTATAAATCTCTTTCTTTAGGTTAAGTCTTTCTGGTCTTTTTACAGAGCAATCAGATCTAGTTCTTATAGACTGATCTAAAACATTTGGACTGGGTATTGGAATACTCTGTGCACTGGCTGTGGAACTGTTAGGTGTCCTTTGGGACTTCTCTGGTAGAGAACCTTGAGTATGAGAAGAAACAGAAGGCTCATTTGATTGTTCAATACTTTGCTCTTGAAAATTGAATTCGTTTGGGCATATACTCATTCAAAGATTCCCTGGGATCTACTCTATTTCTTCTTATGACGTTACCAGATGAGTCCTTAACAAAATAAGATCTAGGCGACTCATTTTATGATACAACTTGCCCGGGTTCCCATTTGTGTTTGATATGATTAAATATTGTTACATTCTGGTTTGGGTCCAAAGGCTCTAGATTTTTACTATTCTTATTATAATACATTTTATAAATATTCTGTTTATGTACCAACTTTTCATCAACATTATCACAAAGTCTTGTTTGCAACAAACTGGAACTGATAGCAACTTTTGTCTTGCAAACTCGACTCATCAACAGTTGAGCAGGTGAATAACCAATATGCTTGAGTGGAGAGTTTCGATATTGAAGCAGAGCCGTTTGCATATCACCTTCTGCTTCTTATATTTTTTACCATTTTTTTTCCTATCTCTACCCCTTTTTCTGCTAAACCATTAGATGGAGCATAATAGGAACTGTGTAAACTCAAAATTCCAGTTTTTTGCAAATGTCTTAAAATCTAGGCTATTGAATCGCACATTATCAGATGTAACTATATCTGGTGTGCCATGTACAGAAAAAATTGATTTCGACGATGAAATTACAGATTTTGCTGCTTATTTTTGATTTGTGGGGCTTCAAGCCAATTTGAGTAAGAATCCACAACAATGAGATAAATTTTTCCAGCATGTGAAAAAATATCTATACCCACTCTTTCCCAAGGACGTTTTGGTAATTCATAGGGCAATAGTGACTCTTTTTATTGTCTTCTAGCAAATGTTTCACAAGTTTTACATTTTTTAATAAACATTTCAATACCAATAGATAGTCCAGGCCAATAAAATATTTGTCTGGCACGGTTTTTACATTTCTCAATGCCAACATGACCCTCATGTAATAGCTCCAGCATAACTCTTTGCAACGATGATGGCACAATAATTTTTTCACCACAAAATAATAAATTAACAACTAGCACCAGGTCCTCTTTGATTTTTGAAAAAATGTTTTAGAGATGGGAGGACTTCATCCTTGTTGGCTGGCCAGCCATTTTCACAATAATTGATTACTAATTGGAGTAAATTATCTTTAGCAGTTCCTTGCTCTAGATAGAGTGTGTAACTTAATAACCGAAGCCTCATTCTTCATCTTTTTTCATTATAGATTCAAGGGGCTTGTGATCAGACTTTACTTTAACTTCAAAACCATAAACTAAATAGTGAAACTTTTGAGTTGCAAATACAATGGCAAGCATTTCCTTCTCGATTTGAGCATATTTTTGCGATGCGATGGGGTGACTATTCTGCAACAAGCATGCACCCAATCCATCTGCAGCCCTTCTTTTATGAAAAATAGGTGCATTCGCGAACGGCAGCTCTTCGTCAGTAGGCACTATGGGATCGAGTTTCCAAAATGAGTTAAAATAGCAAAATTCAGTTATCTAGCAATCATAAGGTTAAACAAAAAAGATGGGGCGCCACTGCAACTTTTAATTCAAATGAAATGTTACCTGGAAAGTTGAGCAACCAGATAATGAATAATATTAGTTGTTCTCCCAGACTAAAAGACCTATTTAATTTACCTTAGAGATGTTGTGAGTTGGAGTGTCATGTCAATAAACAAATAAAACGGTCATATAAAATACCCAAAACATTTAATTATGATGATAGGACTCATATATCACATGGTTTTGCCAAATATGCATAATCAAAAAATATTAGATACTTATTTCCTGTTAAGAAAATACACTGTTGCCTGCTATTATGTGGATGAAAATATGTATAAACCAACCTTATATTGTACTTGAAAAATCAAGAGCTCCTGTAAGGACGTTTTATAGTCATAGCAGATTTTAAAGAAATATTGAATAATTCTACCAGCGCATAGTATACTATGTGGAGGGGAAGTATGTACCTTTCATGTGTGATTTCATAAATTTATGACCTAGCTATGATTTAAAAATGGTCCATTATACACACTAGCAATGGGCAATATGAGTGAATAAAAATGAAAAATAAAAATATATTTTCATGTCAATAACCTGTATGGTGTGTCCTACACCAGTTATCCTTGATAAATGGCTTTAGTGCCACCAGATGAAGCTGCTGCGGGGAAGGTTGGCGGAGAGCGGGGTGCTGACTTCACATCCATGAATGTCAGATGACATTGACAGAGTTGTCGTATTTCCACCTTGAAAATCCATCATATCAGGAACAAACAGGGGACGATATCCAGATTCCAGACTACCATACAGCCACTGAAGGCCTTGTAGAATTGACAGATCCTAGTCGAGCAATTATACTCCTGGGAAGAATAGTGCTCCTGGTAGGATAACTCCCGTTGTAGAACTTCCGTAAAGCTCCCGGTAAAAAACTCCCGGTAGAAAACCCTTCTATGAAGGGTTGGGGATTGAAATGGCTGTAATGACGATGACGGTAGGCACGTGGCTGCCTGGGTGATGAACCATGAAGATCCTGCCTCTTAAACCAAAACCAGAAAAATCTGTAGAGTCCAGCAGTCCTTATAGATCAGCAACAAATCCAGGATATCCTGATGTGATCCAGAACGCCAGGCGGTACAGGACTTCAGAAGCCGGTTCACACCACAAAAATGGCACTTGACCACCACGAAAAATTATCTGAAGTGAGCTCTTGTCTCACGAC